TTTTCCTTCTTTTTTTCTTTTTTACTTTTTAAGCAGGCTACTTGTTTGGAATGCATTTTAGACAAAAATCCATTGCAAGGAAAACTAAATGGGGATCATAAACATTATTCTGAGAACACCAGTGGTAAAGTGCAGTCTATAGATACGAAAAGGTACAGACAGCAACACCCTTCTTAGTCCCAAATAATCTCCAGAAATGCAAATCCTGATCACCCAGTGCAGCTGTCCAAAAGACGTGCAAACAGTCAGGGACATTCTTAGCAGATGACAGCTAAGGAGAACTGCAAACCAAGTGGATACAACATTGAATTTCTGAGGAAAGGAAATACCTGTACTTGGAGATACAAGCAAAACATCTACAGTTTTGAAAAGGAATTTCTTTTGTACTCAGATCCAAACCTCTAAGTTATCCACTTGATAAGTCTAGGTGCTGTTGTTCAAAATAGCAATCCCACAAACCCTGCCCAAGCACGTAGAGGCAACTAGCCTCCTACCCAGAAGCACTTTCCACCTTTGCTGCCAAGAATCAACTTGACCACTTTCAGACAGTTTCAACTGACAACAGTCTGAAGCATATGAAGATCCACCCAGAAGTCAGTGACCTTAAAGGGAAAAGACACCTGAACCAACATCCCCTACCTAAAGAAGTGGGGTTCAAGATCACACGTTCCCCTTTTTGCTTGACTTCCTGGCTAACTAGCCAAAACACTGCCAAGTGCCCTGAGCACTGGTGGCCTGGGGCTGCCAGGATCTCTTACCTCCACTTTAAGCACCGAACCTGTGGTCCTGCAAACATAAAGATAACTTTATTTAATTCCATGTTTATGTACTACAGGTTTTCAGACCTATCCCTTCCAGGAGAAGTAGGGAAATACCTTGTTCTTTGAACACTCACAAGGAAAGCCCCACGGAGCTTTTCTCACAATACTTTCCTCAAGGTAAGCTTGTCAGGGAAGATGTTTCACCGAAGTCTTCACCAACACACATTATTCCATAAAGCAATGTTGCATCAGACAGCAGCATCCACCTTGCATCTATTTCCAATAGTAAACAAGGCAATGAGTGATAATGAGCAGCACCAGATCATCGGCATCTCCTGTTCAGTGAAGGTGTGGTTAAGTGCCTTGCCCCATCACCCCGCCCCTCCTGTGTGATGAGGCACCAGGAGAAAGATGGACCTAAAGAAAACTAATTTTTTGTTAAACAAATAATTATTTCCTCCTGAGTTCAGAGGCTCATTTTATTGGAAAGTAAAATGAGCCAATAAACAATAAGATGAAACAAACACTGAATTAACAGCTTTTCTGCATACAAATTTCCACTGCTATGAGTTTACAGACAACAATGTTTAACTTAAGTTACTTCTCTCTAATTTTCTAGATGTCTATTCTTAGCTAGCAAAATCTGTGTAGTGGGGAATTCTGTTGAAGCCCTCTTTCCTTTAATTTGCAAGAAAAGAAGAACAAGAGCCCAGTCAGCCTCCAGAGACAGTGGATTCTGAACAACATTGCAACTTGGCAATAATGAAATCCTTTCATCCTCTTTAATGTTTGCACCTGACAGTTAAATTCAGAAACTCTCAATTACTGGAACCTAGAAATATCAAAGTGTGCTTCAATATTGATTGCTACTACCACTCCAAGAATATCTATTGGAAGAAACATGGGTATAGGCTGCCCATCTCCTCTTCTGCATTCAAGAGATATGGGGCAGTAAAACCTTACAGAGTGAAGGAAATTGCATCATTGCAAAACCAGCTTGGACTGTGTCAGAAAAGTTTATCAACTTTTATTTTTCAATATCCTTTGTTTTGCTTAGAAAAATACTGCTTTTCTTACATTTATCTCTATCCTCTTGTCCTTTTAAATAATTTCAGAAGGAGAAGGTTAATCAATCAACAACCCTGAGGGACCATCTAAGTCAAAGGTTACCTTCAGGGGTATTTTCCTCAAATTTATTTCTATAAAAATATGCAATGGAAACAACTTATCTATTCCACAACAGAGAGGAAGGGAGATCTGCAGCTGAGCATGAGCTCAGAGACCTGGCATGATGCACGCCCTAGAGGAAACCCCCCCCACAAACCCCACTCCAGCGTATGGAGGAAGAAATGAGCTCCTCCCTGCTCCTGGGAGTCCTGCCTCTGCTTGACTTCACAGGAGCTGGCAGGAGCACTGATGGGAGCTTCCACAGAGCCAGAACTTCTCCCCAGGATATGAGAATCAGCACAGCACTGTTAAACACATCCTGAAAATCTGCCATGTCTCATGAAAAAAAATTGGAGGTGGTTTCCCCTTCTCCTCTGCAGAGAGGGAAGCTCCTCACACTGTTTGTATTACATCCAAATATCTTCTTCAAACAAAATATTTCCCTTGTGAAGCAGCGCAGCCAAAAACCTGGAGGAAACCTTGGTACAACTCTTCCTCTGAGATGACAGTCCTTACTGGGAAAAATAAGAGCATAATTCCATGACTGGGGAAGACATTGACATCAGCAATGTGGGGTGTTAGATTAAGAAAGGGAAAATATAGTTGAAATGCTATTATTTCTAAAGTAAAAGCTGATCTCTTTGCTTGTAGGCTTTTTTTAAAGGACTGAAGACACACTCAAAATTTTTTATGTATACACATGTATAGATAAATAGTTAATTTATACAAATATGTGTGTTAGGCGTTAAAAGCCTAATTGTGGAAGTTTGTTTACTTTACCTAGAAAAAATAGATAAAAATCCTTGAGGGTAGGGCATTTTTCTTCTCAGTCATACAAGGACCAACATAAGGAATCCTGGATAATATCAGAGGTTCTTGGACAGCACAGTTGCATAAAAGGTAGGCTACCTTTCTTGTCCTATTGCATTATTTGATATCACTTGTGTTGATAAAGATACGCCCATCTTTTTCTTCCTAGCTACTTCTCAAAGATTTGCAGCTCTTGCATTTAAAAAGAAAATTTCAGTAAACCAATAAAGATAATTTGCTGTGCTTTAGAAACACAACTTAATTGGGGTCTCTGTTTACAGTTGTTGTACTAAAGTGTTCACACTGAAAAGACAAACTTTGAAGCTTGTTGCCGTGCGGGACCGGCTCTGGGCAGGCGCCTGCGGGAGCACGGCAGGAGGAGGGGAGAGGCGGCGCCGCTTTTCCCCTTCAGCTCTGCGAGGCTCAGTTCTAGCGCAGGAACAGACGAAATGGCGACACGGGGCTCGGGTGCAAACACGTGTTTATTGTGGGAGCGTGTTGCCGAGACACCGGGGCACCGACTGAGGGTTGGTTATACCCCGTGCTGGGGGCAGGGGGAAGCTGAGCCGCGGCCAATGGGACGGGAGGCAGGGGACAGGAAAACCCCAGAGACCCTGGGGAAGCAGGAGCGGCGAAGGGAAAGGCGGGGCGGGCAGGGACCGGACCGCGTGGTGAGGGGGAAGGACAAGGGAACGCAGGGTCGGGGGGAGGGGGAGTGGGGGGGGGAAAGAAGAGAGAATTACAAATCCCGCAGAAGCTTTCTACCTTTCAACTAAGTCACCAGGCCTGTGAGCTGCAGAACCAGCAAATTCTTTCGTCCGAAACATTACTTCCCAGCAACCCACACTGACATTCACATCTACCACAGATCTTCCAACTATACCTTCAGTTCTTCCTTCAAGTCCTCCCCCTTGCCAGGTCTCATTTCTATCAGATGGACAAATCAGTAGTAGCTTGTGTGGTGGCTTTTTGTGGAACAGGCATCCAGCAGTGTGTGAGGAAAACACATCTGTTTCTCCACTGGTGCAGCTCCACAGCACACAGCTGCTGGGCTCATGCTGCTGACGCACTCTCAGTTGAGGAATTGATTTTGGCTATCCTCTTCTATCCACAGTAAATTTTCATTGATTTGGTACATTCACATCTTTGAAGTCAGTTTTGGTAGAAAGTGGTAAATGGGCTCAAAAAGATAGCAGACATAAGAGGACTAAGATTTTGTGATTGCTTAAATCTCTTCACATGAAGCTAAAAATGCCTACTCTCAAAAAAGTATTATAAAATATATTTTATCCACCAAACATTCCATGCAACTGGTTAATGTGCCACAAGGAGCAGAAAACCTGGAAAAAGATGTTTTCAGACTACTTTTCTAGGGCCCAGAGTATATTTTTTTCATTTAAACATTAAACAAAAAAGCCAGTCATATGTAGGTTAATAAAGTGAACACAAGGGAGATGTACCTCTAAATTGGAGCCAGACGGTGAATAACAGAGCAGGAATGTACTTAAACCTCAGTACCAGCTCGTGACAAGGTCTGCTCTCTGTCTTAGCCTGTGGATTTTGGAAAAAAGCTTCAGGAGCTAAGAGAAAAACTTTCAAGCTGACAAATACTCCTTGGCTGGAAAAGGCTCCTGTTTTAATTCAGCACAGATGTGACTTTTAATGAAAGCATTATGGCTTTGCAGCTGCATGGATGATACAAACCTTTTTAAAGAAATAAATGACTCAAAATGCTTTATTTTCACTGCACCATTATGCTTGACCTTTGCTGGGGTACAATCCTAAAACCAGCTACGATGCTGTTTATGCTTACCTGTCTCTTATCCAGCCTAATCTTGGGAGAAATGGGGCAGCCTGACTCCTGCTAGATGAGAAAAGAGAACAGCCCCTACCTCCCGTGTGGGATTTAACACTTTGCAGGATTAGGTGTCTGGTGAGTATACACACCAAAGGTAAACAAAAAGGGAAAAATCTAAATGCACCAGACAGGGAACTGCAAAGAAATACTGGGTCACATTAGCACAGAGTCACTAGATAACTGAAAACTAGGTCAATGTGAGGAACACTGGGAGCTTTTGCAGTCATTCTCCAGAAATTAAGCTGGATCCAAGGGCTGGCTATTTGGCTCGTATTCAGACACCTGCTTCACACAGGCACAGGGGTAAATTGTAAACCTAATTTCTTTCCTTTGTTTCATGTCTTAATTCTGCTGGGCAAGAGACAAGACAGACACCTGTGTAATAAGCCTTTTTTTTAATTTAGTCAGGTAGCATCTTCTTTATCTCACCTAGCTTCTGTCCGATTAGAGTCCAGTAGTTTCCTTCCGTGCAGCAGCATCTCTGGGGGTAATTAACCACACACACCTTACAACAGGATAAATCAGCTCCTAGAGAGACGCTGTCTCTTTCCACCTCTAGAAGCTCAGACCAGACAGCTTTCAGATAGCCATTAAGGTGCAGCAAATCCCACCCTTATTATATACAACCCCACTGAGTAATTAAAAAAATAATACTGAAGTCAAGCATATCTTTTCCATCTCACAGAACAAGCACTGTTGCTCTGAACATACAATCTAAAGTTAATTTTAGGTAAAACCTTTCAGTCCATCTTCTTTCCTGCTACTGTTTCTGTATATTTATTTCAGACTTGTTCCCCTACGAGGAAGAAGAAATCAACCCCCTGTGGTCAACATTTTCTTTCACCCAAAATGTCCTATATCGACATGGCACTAGTCTGGCCCTGATTCAGCAGAGCACTTATCCATTTATTTAAAGACTGCTGAATCAAGGCCAGAGGTACCATCCTGTGCTCAGCAGTGAACTAATAAGCCAAATATTGTGGAGTCAAGTTCAACATGCAGAAAAATTCCCGTTTATCAATTTGGATTCCTGGAAGTCTCCACATTTCTGCAAAGAATTTGGACTTTCACTGATTATACTCTCTGTACTGGAGGTGCAATATATTTTATCTTCTTACCTACTCAGTAAAATTTTAGAAGTATTTACCAATGCTCCTGTAAATCATTGGTACAACAACCTCTAATAATTGACCCATAATATGTATATAATAAGCAGAGCATATGGAAATAGAGAAAGCATTGTAAGATACCAGTTCATTTCCTAGGGTAGCTAGAAAAGGAAATAAGGAAACCCTGGACAGCTGATGAGAGAGCCTAAACAATTCTGTTTAAAGGGAGAAACTTTAAAGTTATTATTCTTTAGCAAATCATCCTGAATGAATTTCATCATTCTTGATTCAAATGTGGTTTTTTGACACTTTAATTATAAAGAAACCATTCCTGAACCATACAATATGAACAGAGATGACATAAGTTTAAGTAAAATGCTATTACCAGCTCATTTTGCAAAATTCACAGCCTCATTCAAATTAAACAGCACTTCTCTACAACAGATGAAATGAATATTACAAAAATGAAATTGTATGCATGGGTTCAGGAATATTTTAACTATTTATACGTTCTACACATACACATGCGTGCGTGTGTGTGTATGTGGTTGTCAAGAATGGCATGCTGGCAACTTGCAGTTTAATAAGTATAATTTTTCCCCTCAGTAAGATACACTCTTATGTTCTTGGAAATTAGAAACATTTACTACAGCAGTATAATGAAGCAATGTTCATTAAAACAGGATATGTAGGTAATACATTTCTATTACCACATTACAGCATCCACTTAACTAAAATACAGACGACTCTATGAATTCACCTAATTTTTTGCTTGTATTCTCTTGCTCCTCATTTATTATTGAGCTACCACATTTATACACATTTGGACAAATTTGCTCCAGAATAAAGCACAACCAATCTGCACAGTACAATGTTTACCTCTCACTGCTTGTCTTTTTTTTCCTTCTCGTCCCTTTTCTAGTCACAAATCATTTTCACAAGCTCTGACTGATTAGTTGTCAATTTCCTCCCCATTATAAATTTAACAAAAACCCAAAGTTGAGCTCAATTTATTTTTTCTTTAATAAATACATGCTTCTGAATAGTGCAGGGTAAGCAGTTACTTCAGGTATTACATAATACTCTAGTTCAATTGATAACATTTTCAGCCTGTAAATCAGTTTCTAAATTTTCATGACAAGCACAGTTCGTATGACATTTAAGTAGTGACTCACTTTACAAATTTATGGACTCTTCTCTTCCTATAATGCTAGAAAAACAGGAAGCTTTAATGCTAAAGTATTTTGATTCCAAAACATTTCAAATTCTGTTTTACATTTCCAGGATCTCTGTTCCTCTGCCATGCAGTAAATATTCAGGCAGCAAAAGTGCACTGCAGAGAGTACAAAACATAAAGGGAGACAGACTGTAAGAAGCTGTTTTCAACACCAGCCAGAAGTGAATTGAAGCCCTTTGTTCTACCATATATAAAGAAAATAAAAACAAAAGCAAAAATCTTTAAAAAAATCTTTCCTTAGGGAACAGAGCAGACATTTGGAGAACCTCTTTTCTGATAAGGTGTCCTCAATGCAATATTAGCTGAGGGAGAAAAGCAAGATGATAGTTGCAAACAGAAGCAAAAGCACAGCAACAAACCTAATGTCCCATATTATCTCACCTCTCCATTTTCACATTCAGGGTAGACAAACATGTAAATTTTAAAAGAATTGTCTGGTTACACTGAAGGTAAATATGGTGATACTTTTGTCTCACTGGCATTAAGGCAACTTGGGCTTTCCCCAGGTTACTCAGTTCCTTACTGTACCTCCTTTGTCTAGCTCTATTAAAATACAGCACATGCAGAACCATATTAATTCAAATTGCACAGTTGTATATACACAGACTGACCTGATTTATAAGAACAGTCTTCAGTAAGTACTTAACACCTTGAATCTCCAGCTCAGCTGCACTCAAATGACATATATTGGACTCAATTCTCACCTCAGCTTGCTCAAATACAAAACTCCCTGTGGTTTGGGGGGCTGGTGGCTAATCAAATGCCAACCAATTAATGAAAAATAAGAGGTAAGATATTAGCTACACTGAAAACCACCAGCCAGCACAACAGGAAACAAGTCTGAGTGAAATTATTATTTCAGAATGCTATTAATTATTTGCAACTGAAGAAGGAAAACCAGTCCTGTGGTTAAGAACCTGTAATAGGACTTGGGGCCAGACAAGTGACCTGCTTCTTGGTTGTGTTGAAGTTTCCCTAAATAACTTTGTGCTGGCCAATTTGTCTCCCATATCATTTTCTTATGTATGACGTGATAATACCTACACCTGTTTCTCTTCCTGCTTCTTTGTCCTCTTTCCTCACCTTCACCCATAGAAATACTGGCATGGGGGGTAGGCTCTCCTAAGTGCCTGTTACATTTTTCTTCCTTTTCATGAAGAAATACTCCATGGGGCTTAGACTAAAGGAATATGAAGTGCAAAATTTTACAGTAAGATTAAAAAAAAAAAAAAAGTCTGTTAGAATTGCTAGAGAAAAATGTTGAGGTCTCAGTGAAACTATATCTATATGCTATTCATAAAACACAAATTTTATGCATATTAAGATATTACATATTTCAACATTATTCAACCTTACCATATCACAAGCCCTAAGCTTGACTACAGAAATACTATTTTTTTCACAATATTGAACTGCACAAAACCTGCAAAATAAATAGAATCAGCTATGAATTAAACATTATTCAATCTTAAGTCTGCATGTATAATTTTACTATAAAATCAATAAAATTTTCCATTTTTTTATTAAACAATATAGTCAGCACTTTTCTTTAAGCAGGACTGTCTTTTGGTGAGGTTCTAGGGCTTATATTATGCAAAACATCAAAGTCCAGGACCCTCTTCATGAATATATATACATTTTCTTCCAGCAACCTCAGCAATTATAAAACTTGACTAATATTTTTTTTACTCTGTACTGAAATACATTAATTGAATGGACAATATGTACGCTTGTTTAACCACAGGGGAGTTGAGTGACCAGATAAAAGCCTTTTTTACCCTTATCAGTAGGCCATACCAACTGGCCTACTGAAAGACTTAGTTATCTTCACACAAATATAATCAGTGAAGTTTAAATTTCATATTATGTAAGACAAAAATGCAGAAATGATAGAGTATACAGGAAAAATGAAAGCTTTTAAAATGGTTTTCCTCTTTTTTAGCAGTCTGTACAGCATGACATATCCCAACACATTGACTACATTAATACATGTATGCCTTAATAGATCAATACCCAGAACACACTTGCTCAATGCATTACAGATGGTTCTCTGCTAATTATTTACATTTTGCTGTATGGAGGCTATGCTGCTTACTGCTTTGATGATACTTTGAGTTACTGTTTTGATGACTCTGAATAACTTTAAAGACTTCAAGGTGATGCTGTGTTCCACTTACAAGTCTTCTCTTGCTCTTATATATGTGCATAGCATGCAAATTGGAAGATTTCTATTTACAGGCCAGACACTAAGTGGAAAACAATCTGTATCAGATAATCTAAAGAATATAGTAACCTATGCTTCTTATCCATTGCTTATATACTTGACCAGTCAACAATTCAAAATCTGAAAATTATTTCTCTGCTTGCAATATTTGTGTTGCTTTCTTAAGTCTTGTGAATAACCATATTCAATATCTATTCCAAGTTTTTCAGGAATAAATCTCACACACTGATCTAACCTATTAAGTATCATCCTCTGTCAATTAGTTTTCTTCATCTTATTAAAATATTTATTATAAGAATCTTATTTTTTAATAACAAAAGATACTTTGGGGGGAGAAAATTATATTATTTAATGTAAATGAAAAGAGCAATGCTATATTTATCCGTAATAATATCATTAATTAATTAATCTTTCCAGGCATGTACATTTTTTAATATACCACTTCCATTGTTTAGCTAGAACTATGAAGTCATTTTAGATTTACATATTCTTTTCTGATCTTCCTGAAGGAAGAATTATATAAATCAGAAGAGCAAAACACTTCAGAAGTGGTCTTGTAGGAGTGGAAGAGAATACTTATTTAGCTTAAAGTTGTAAGAAAGCTTCTGCAAAAACTTCCAAATTACTTTGTTCCTCTGAGTCACTTTAATCCCTTGCAGAGAATATCTTCTGGAGTGACCTCCTTGAACCTTTGTGACCAGGGCAATAAAACACCAAAAGCCTAGAGATTAGAAAAGAGAGTCTTGAAACTAAAAAGGGTGTTCCTCAGGGCTATAAGTTACACCAACATAGTGAGAATGAATCCCAGTGGGAAGGGAAGATCCTGTATCCCTATCATTAATTATCTGCTTCATAATCTACTCCCATTATAATTGCAATACTTTCCAAATGCAGCTCTCCTTTCTCATGCCTGCAGCAATGCACATTGTTCCCTGTCTGACAAAACCAGTCTTTGTTTGGGAATCACAAGCTATGTAAACTGCAGAGTAGTCTTTAAGAAAAGAATCAGATCTTTGTAGTGTTTACACTACACATTTCTCTTCAGTGTTTTCTACCCAAGATTTGCCCATAGAACCCCACGGATATTCCGATAGCATAATTTCAGAAATACTGATCTACATCTCTAAATGCTGTTTTGTTCTTTGCACATCTTTACTTACCCCATGTGTCTTCATTATTTGCTTGTTCTTCTCTATTATGCTTTTCTTTCCTGTTATTTAAAAATAAAGAAAACCAGTTTTATTCCGCAGTACAACTCAGGACACCAAAACCTTGCTCAGAACAATCCACAAGAACAATTTAGACTGCAGACAAATAGAGTGCATGTGTTAAAGAGGAATGTGTTTAACCCTACAGATCACACGAGTCGCCTCCACCGCGCGCTCGGAGCGCCGTCCGCTCATCCAGCACAAGCTGCAGGCCACACTCTGCAGCACAGACTGCACAAACCCGTCAGAGGCACCACAGCCAGAGCCCTGCTCACTGCCTGACCACCCCGGGACACGCCGTCCCTGGAGCCAGACACAGGCACCAAGCACTGTGCTCTCTAACTGCAGAAGACCACCCTGGTCTTGCCAGGGCTGCTCTGGCTCTGTTACTGCACATGCAGGATAACAGAGCATCTCTCCCAGACATGGTCCTGGGCCTGGAAAAATACAGGAGAGAAAGCTTTTAATGAAGACAATAAGACATGAAATGCACACCTGCAATTTCACAACAATGTCAAATTTAATATTTATGTCAATACTCTATATGGCCATATATAGTGTAGACAAATTTAAGAGTCTTTCATAATTTTTTGCTCATGCTTTTTCCTTTTCCAAAGAGTGCAAAATTACTGGAACACTCACACTCCCTCAGTTGCCAATGCTATTTTTGTTAAAGCTCACTCCTGATTATATCAAGTATAATTCAGCAATGGCTCAGCTATTAATGAAATATAAGAAAGAACATTTAAAAAAAGAACCAGGCCTATGGTTTATGAAAGGATTTGTGGGAATTGGGGAACAATTACCATTCACTAAGACACTTGCTTTGCCAGCTGCATAAATATAGTCTATCTCCATGAAGACCCCTAATCCATAAAGCTGAAACAGTCTTTCAGGAAAGGCAATTGTTTTGAGGGGTTCATTGTTACAAAGGCAAGCAAGATAATCAAGAACTGATAATTTATAATTGTATATTTGAGTAATAGATATACTGGCTTAAATCTGGAATGTTTCAAAATTATTTTTTAGTTATTCAATATCCTTTTTAATTCTTTGCTTTGAATTTTTTAAAATAACTTGGTACATCTTTAAAGTTTGTGGTTTAATTTTCTAATACTTTTAAAACACAGAAGAGAGGTGGCAATAAAGTAATCATTTTACATTAAGCATCAGGAGAGGAGTAATGAAGTGGAATCACAATGTTCAAGTCCTTCATTTACAAAACATTCTTTTATCCCAAACACCTGCATCTTTCCCCAGGCTAAGGGAGCATTTTGACTTAGAATGTTAGAAGCTCTAGTGCATTATCACTTCAGATCACCTACAGCCAACTGATTCTGGGTGCCAATTAATGTTATTACCACATAATCAAATGCTACTTAATGCAAACTGTGGGCTATACCCTTGGCTTTGTATACAGCCTGAGATTCACAGCTGAGGAGAAGAAACTATTTGCCAAGGGCAGTTTACAGCAACTGCAAATATGACACTAATTTCTAAGCCAAGACAGAGAATTAAAAAGAATTATATGTATTTCAAGAGGGAGATCTTTTTATAATTACTTTAAAGGTATTATATGCAAAGGTCATATTGTCAAGAGTATCACAGGTTTAGAGGTTTCAAAAACATAAAGCTAAGTAGGACTCACTCCCTGTTCTGTAGGAATATACCCAAAACTGGAGTGGGGGAAGGGTGGACTAGATAATCTCCAGAGACACCTTCCAACCTCAGCTGTTCTATGATTCTCTAATAATTACCCTTCCAGGTGGTGGGCATGCAACTGTGATATACAGCCAGCTATGGTACACAGCCTTGTGCCCATTCACAGCCACGTGAATGGCTGCTCACATACCAAATCCCTTTTCACCTCCATCTTCCTGAGAAAACACTTTAATCAGCAGCTTGTAATCGAAGGTGGCATTTTCTGAATTTCGCCTATCTTCTCTGCATGTGTTACTACAGTATTAATGGTAAATGAACAGACACAGCAACCTTGGGCTTCTTGTGCTCAGGAGAAAGCCTGAAAACTAAAGGATTACCTGCAGCTTTGCTACACTCATGTTATCATATGAAACACCAAAATATGCACTGCAACATGTTTTGGAACTCAGAAATTTAGTATTTTTTTCCTGGGTGATGCCAGAACCACTGAACTTCCTTGTTTTTTTGTCCCAGGAACTGCCAACAGCTCGCCTCCAGATCCCATAAGGTCCTCAGACACTTGCAGCTGTCTCCTGGGAGTTTGCTGGTAGAGTGTCATATCCCTGCAAATGAACAAAGAGGAAGTTAAACCTAAGACAATCTTCCCTTGCAGTTATTCTCCAACTCCTGACACTCTGAGGAAAGAAAACAGCAGCACCAGCTCTCTTCACAAGCATAAGCACTGGTGAGCATGAGCTTTTCCACCAGATCAAAGTTCACTAAACATAACATGCACAAGCCTCCTCCTATAAATTCTGATGGGGAAAACCTGCAGTAGTCATATGATAAAAATAGCTAATTTCCCAGTACGAATTCATGCAGAAGTTCTGACAAAACTTTCTCACAGCTTTAATGCCTTTGTCCTGTTCTTTGTCCTGACATGGAGTGACATAAAAACATGAGGTCTAAACCCTAGTGCACGGTTTGGCTAATTTATCGGGAATCCCCACATACTCATTTTTGATCTAGATCAAATGAGGACTTAACAGACCCAATACTGTACTGTGCAGCCACCACCTTCCTGCAAAGGGAGGTAAGTGTTCTCACATTCCCAGCAAAGACCATCCTATCAATGTGCTTTCAGGATTTTGTGTGTCAGAGCAAACAATACACTTCTCCACTTCTGACTCAGTTTCAAAAAATCTTGCATACAGACTGAAATTTTCTGATATCTTCCCAGAATGCCATTAAATTTGCATGGGAGCTGGGCTTTAGTAGCTAGGCCTGTAAAATATGTTGGGTTAGCTGCAATTCATTCACAGATATCTGATACATTATTTGAAACCCTGCCAAAAACCTACTTGAGAAATAAGTTATCTCACAAATTATTTCTGAAGAATTTCTTTTCTATTATAATTAAAAGCCCACTTTATATACACTAGGCATCTTATTTCCTTAATTATTATCAAACAGTTCCTGAATGGTTTATGCATTCATGCCCAAACACCCCAGCCCATTATTCCCCACTGGAATATAACATACGCTGAATAATAATTATATGAATATCTAAATGGCAAATATTCTTTTCCAATATCTGTTTGCGGACCAAACTTTTCATATCAATTAGGCAAGATTAAAGAAGGCAGAAAAGAGCAGCGTCATCCCAGCAGATATGTTCTATGTGCTTGGTGATGCCTTGAGTATAGGCACACTTTGGACAATCCATCTGCGTCTGTAGCTGATTTACACTCGACATCATTGCCAAGGGCTCTCCAGCTGGAAGGGCAAAGTCCACAAGTAGACCACATTGGACCCCCAGGCCTTGCAGAATCCATTCTTCAAGGTGTGTTTGATTCAAGTTCATCATGCCCAGACCTTAACTGCTGACACCCTTTTGGTCTAGGTGGTCTTCTTTGCTTGCCTTTCAGACCCAGCTTGAGAAATTTCAGAGTTGATCACAACTGAGTTTTGATGCCTACTGCTTTTATTCTTCTCTTTAGTACTATTTTCTAGTAAAATATAGATAAAATCATATGCATTCAAACAAAATCATCACTATTCTCTTTTGACCAAGTTCCAAAAAACTTTAAAATTATTGGCATTCAATCCCTTAATAACACTTTTCTGCAAACATGAATACAGCAAAGAAACACTGAGTTTTCTGGTTTAACTACTTGGATTTTATTACTGTGTCACACATGACAATCCTAACAAACCAGGAAAGAAATATTTTATTAGATAATTACTTTGTTTATTAACTAATTAAATTATTTTTGGTAAAGCTTCATGCAGCTATCAGAAATCCTAAGATATGTTTTGAAATCGCATAGAAATATGGGAATTATAGTTTTAACAAAAGAGAAAGGCAATAAAAGTCCAGAGTTTCTTTGTGCTCAAAACTCATATCTAATTCTCAGTCTAACTGCCTTAATTCTATGAGGTCGGTGCCTAATTCTAATTTTCAAAGAACAGGTAAAGTCATTGCCTTATTAATAGTTGCTTTTAACTCAGATACCACTAAGGTAGCTGCAACTCCATGTGCTAACCATTTACTGTAAATGGTTGCAATCATAATGAATGCTATTGAAATTTGGAAGTAGATTATTTGAAGAGGTGGAATCTGTGAAACTGACTCCTAGAAACAGGTCAGAAAAATGCAAAGTGCAACTATTTTGGAATGTGACTCCATATTCAAGGTCCTTTTCACTTAAACCTGCTTTTGCTGCAATCCTTCCCAATAAATTAAGAGGTATAACTGTAAAATAATTGTACCAGAAAAACACACAGTCAAACTGAGAAAAATCTGAAAGAGTAAAAAAGAGGCCGGTTTTTGAACAAACCAAAAGTTAGTAATGCAAACTGCAGACTAAAGTTTAAAGCTTTCTGAAGTTTTGGCTTTTGGTCACGGGGACTTTTTTTGTTTTGTTTGTTTCTTATTGAATTTCTTTTAAGGCTCTTGTTCTAGCCTATTAAGGAAGTGTCGTCTTGCTGTAATTACAAATTAAATTTTAACTCTCACTTCGAAGAAAGAGCACAGCCAGTTCTTTTTGAAGTGATATAAAAGAGAAGTCCATGTAAAAGAAAGGAGTTGTATTTTGATGTAAGAAAAATGTTGGCTACAGAGTTTCTTCAGAGAATGCTCAAAAGCAAACAAAAGTTACTTGGAGTTAGATTAATTTTAATGAGCTTCCAGGAACATTTATGACTTATCTACCCCAGTGACCACAGGTGGATATCCCTGCTGGGTTACACTTGGCTGCTTCTGAATAAAACAGCAGAGAGCAAACAAACAGAATAGACAAAAGAAAAAAGGAAGACATTTGTGTCAGGGTACACTTAATGAACACCTGCACTTCACAGGCATGGGTAACTATTTACCACCTTCTTCCCTCCAGATAAATATCTACTAAGAAATTAGTCCTCTTTCTGTATCAGTGGCAAATTAAATGAAACCCTTGAAGACTGCTTGAAGGCAAACTACGCATAGGTTAATTTTCCTTTTTTGTATGTCAGGAAAATAATCATCAAGGGAGCACCTAATTAAAATAACTCAACCCTTTGTGCACAGTCATGCTTGTTGCTTCATAGCAGAATGACTATTGATCTGGACATGGAGAATGCAGTTAAACAGAGCTTCCAACTTTAGTGGTCCAGCTGCTTGGTATCAGAGCACCTTAGCAGATATCCATCAGAAAATCACCTGTGTAAACTTCAAACTAGCCACAGTAAGAGAAACCACAAGGTATTACATATGGAAAAAAAGGTCTCAACATCCTTTGCATCACTGCTAGTTGGGGAACTTGGCTCATTTGTCTGGATCTGCCTCTCTTCCTCTCATTTGCAATGGTGATTTATGCCTTGGGGGCCTGGGCTTGTGCAACATATTTATGAGCCCCAGACAAGTTACCCAAACAGGGTAGCAGCCTGAATGCAAGCTATGTATGTAGTCCATCTGCCACAGTTAACAGGGGAAAACAGCTAACAAACACCAAGAGTGTCCAAAAGCTAATTTCACAGATAGTGTAGAAGGGCAGCAAAATAAGCAGTACATTCTAGATAGTGCTAAATAAAATTCCTAATCGGAGCATGGGAAACAACCACTCTTCACTGCACACTGCAAGCAAACTAGTGGTAATTCCACAAGGGGAAGCCATAAGTTCCTCCAGAGCTGCCCAGAGTAGAAGCTGAAATTCAGGCATGTCCAGTACACTATTGTTCACAGGCTGACATCTGTCCCCAGCAGCATATGCCATCCTGGCCATCAGAAGTGTCTGTAAAACACCAGTGTCCTTGTGGTATGACAAATGTGTATGCCAATACAGGACGGCGTGTTTTTCAAAGATGCTCAAGGACTGACAGGAATCTGGAATAGCTGAAGAGTCAGTTTTAAAGGCTAGATGTAGAAGTCATCTTAAGGAAATTTACTTAGGTATCCAATAATAATAAGCCACCTGAGCACATCCGGGAATTTTGTTCCTACTTAGTTTGAAATCCTGACCACTGGTTGGATGTCAGCTCCTCTGGAGAGGACTGTTCATGTTCAATGAGCATAAATGGAAATTAAACATTAGTCCAGAACAGCCATGGAGGGTCAGATAGTTTAGACTTGTTTTAGATTAAGACACTTGCATTTAGGCACTGAAGTATGCATGTCTTAATATCAGACTGAACACTTCCCTGAACTTCTGGCCTGGTCTAGAAAAATATTGTCTTCATGGGTTGAGGAAAAGGTACACTCACAATAAACTTCCCCAAGATCTGCAGTCAAGCAGAAGTCGGTGCTACAGTTTTTTGGCTCCTGACTAATCCAAATGGGTAATTTTCAGACTTTCAGCCTTATGAGCAAAGAAAGCAAAATCATAGAGCAGTTCTTTCTCAGGTATTAATCCCTTATTACTTTTTGTTTTGCCTTTAAAATATTCTAGAGGAAATAATTTCATTTAAATAATATTAGTGCTTCTTTCCTTCTGTTCATCTCAGTCTCCTCTTTATTTTTGCTACACCATAAATGATAGCATTTTTGCTTCACCTTCTCTCTCTTCTTGTTTCATGGCCTCAAATGATTCTTTGTATAAGTGGCTACACAATCTTCTGCTGCACTGACCTGGACCTGAAGAAAACAGACCTTGTATTCCATATTTTAAATACTAAATAAGGAGAAAAAGGATAAAAGTTCCATTGGCAAAAAATTGTCAAAACAAATATTCCACGCTCTGATGGCAAGCAAGTCAATCCATCACCAAGGGTCAATTGCTTTTGCTAAAGGTGGCTTAGTTGTCATTAAAACAAATACACTGTTGTGACAAAGGCATCATAGGAATTATGCTCCATGCCCCTTACAAAAGGAGCCTTGACATCCTACAACAAAACTGGACCTTTGGTACAAAAGGCCAAAAGCTTCAAATACTCTGTGTATGACAGAAGAGAACAGGAGAGGTCAAAGTGCACCTCCTGGTGTCTTATGTCCTCATAATAGCTGCTAGTGAAAAAATGGATTATCCTAGGAACTTGGCCATATACTACAAAGGCAGAGAAAGTACTCTCGTGTTCTTTGCCAGCCTGTCAAGGGAAATCCTGACCTCAAGTCCTCAGTGATTGAATAGCCAGGTACACAAACTGCTTC